AACATCCTTCACTGTAAATTTGACAAATTTAATTGGTAAATTGCACTAATCATCCCAAAACTTTGACTGAGTTCACGAACCTACCCCAAACCCTTTGTAAGTTTTTTTTTTTTTTTTTTTCGAGCTTTTTTTTCCAGCTCGGCTTAGCTCAACTCGTTAACACCACTAGGGGGTGGAGGGTTTCTAAGTGATATATGTAATATATTAGCTACTGTCTAAAGGTTTAATTGATAACACCATGGGAACGTTCCTTCTTATATTGTTTTTCATTCATGGGAAGATAATAGTACTGCGATTGCTTATTAAGACAAATGGGACCGCCCTTTTTGCAAAAAGGAAAAGCGGTGGGTAAAGGCATGTAGATTCCATGCAAATTACACACTTGTCGAGTTTTCTCCAGACTATTGATCTTCAATCGTCAATCGAAGGGTATTTGAGTGGTTTTAGATAATTGTGTTTAGATAATCTAAGGGTATTTATACAAGGCCTATGAACAAATTCATGGCATGTTAATGCACTTCCAAAAATAAGAGAAAATATCAGAAATTAATTGTGTAGACGATTAACAATTTCAGATTCTTGTTTCATGCACAGGCCGGCCCGCACGTTGCTGTGTTTTACCTTTGCGACCCAACTTCATAAGACATTAACAAGCAGGCTGCAGCAATCCTTATCTGACAGCTACTAAGATCGACGGTTAAACCTAATTAGAAAACAAACTAATAGCCAAAGGAAGCTAAATAATAATAAATAATAAATATTGAGCAGGTAGAAATCCATAATAAATTCCAAGTGGTAGCTTTCAATACTAAGATAACTTTTCCATTAACAATATGTACCAAACCAATGAAAAATTTAATATCAAGCCAATAAATTAACTAATTAATTGTTGACATAAATTTAAATAAATAAAATTTTGTCCTCTCCTCTTAGAAGATTAAGCTTTCACAACGGGTGTTGAATCAGCCATATTTCACCGCTATCTATATATGAATTGGGAAAGCTACCCCAACCTTTTTTTAACTATTTTCTTTTCTTTCTTTCTTTTTTGTCTCAGCCTTTGAGAAATTGACAAAATCAAATGTCCAAAATTATGTTACAAAACAAATATGACCAACGGAAAAAATGAATAATATTATCTTTACACTTGTTCGCATCATGGGTTCTCTCAAATTTTACAGCCAGCGAGAAATCGAGAATTTTCATAATTGGGAAATTGGCTTGGGATTAGAGATTCAGCAGGAAAGCATAGTAGTGGTGAGGTGGGACACTTTTTTCGATTATTTATTTATTTATTTATATGGTCTTTTAGTTTTTTTTATTACTATTCTCTTCATTTTTTCTTTCTTTTTTGGTTACTTTATTTTGTTTATTTAAGTTAAAAGTACGGTTGTCATTTTACATAAATTAATCAAATTATTGAACAGAAACTTTATAAGGATTGAGTTTGATAATTTATGAAACGTTGGAGACGAATTATCATGACAATGTTGTATGGTATGAATTTTTCTGCAAGTTTAAATGGGCTCACTTAACTTTCCAACCTCAATCGCTAATTCATGGGATATGGTTCTCCCATGATTCATAACAGTAGTATCAAAGCAGGCTACCTGTCCCTTGGTAGATCTGTTACTTCGCTCAAAGGTAGGGGATGAGTATATATAAGGAGAAATTTCACATAGAGTCCCAAACTTCTCAATTTTATCACCTCGGGTCCCTAACATATGAAATGTTTGTAACCATCATCCTTCTCTAGTTAATTTGACTCTCAAATGTCAAAAATTTATTAGAAGAATTATTCCATTTGTACAGAATTTTTTTTATTATTTTTACATTTTTTCATTATTTTTTTTTTTTTTTTTTTTTTTTTACAGAAAACATACAGATAGTCACAGTGGGTGGGCCCCACCGTGTATTAAAAAAATGTGCGGGACGCACACATGGTCATTAGCATTTGTTTATTGTAGAATTTAAATCAATAACATTTCTTATCGAATTTTTATCTTCAATCTTCCATTAATTAGTATTTTGACCTTGAAGATGGTTGCTGTCAAAATATTCTGTTTTCATAGTTTGAACTAAGTGAAAAATATTTTTGTCGTATTTCTGTATTTATTGTGTCTTTCGAAATATAATGGGAAATGAGTAGTTTTATGTCATTTCAACGGACTTTTTTGGACGAAGCCATTATTAAGGATGGCACTTGATAATTAATGGAATGTTGAACTCTTGAAGATAAGAATGTTAAGGAAAAAAGTTGAGGACATAATTGCTACAATAAAAAAGATTGAACACAAGTACAATTAAAATATGGAGCAAAAATAAAAATGAATGAATACAATTGGCTCCTAAAAATCAAACATTAATTACAAAGATAATTCTAGCTTACTTTACTGTAAATTAAAATAAAATAAACCAAAGAAAAAGAAAGACAAAAAAAAAAATCTAAAGAAAGCTTCAACCCGTCGGAAACCCACCGACCACCCCCACTCCAGCCGGAAAACCCCTTCCCACAAACCATTGGCAATTCCCCTCTCCCTCGTCACATCACCCATTTTAATCGACGTCAATCATATCTGAATAAAAAATAGAAATTTTAATCCAATTATTAGGAATTACTGTTTTTAAAATATTCAAACTTAATTTGACATCGTTGTTTGATCCACATGAAACAAAATTAACAAATTCTACTTGATTTAACGGCTTTCTTTTTTAAAGTGACAACCAACAAGTATGTACTGTAAAATTTAATTTTTAATTCGAATTACTCGGAGGAAAGCTACTATCCAAAATGACTTACGTAACAAGTGTCAAAAATCAAAGGCAAAATTAAAGTACTTGATGTGCCACATGGCACAGTTGACTGACTCACTTACTGTGCTTTATCATATGAATGCCATGACAAAGAATGGTCATATAATAATATTATTACGTCCGCATCATGAATGGTCATATAATATTATTATTACGTCCGCATCATGAATGGTCATATAATAATATCACGAATGGTCATATAATAATATTATTACGTCCACACCATGAATGGTCATATAATATTATTACGTCCGCACCATGAATGGTCATATAATAATATTATTACGTCCAAACCATGAATGGTCATATAATATTATTACGTCCGACCCATTTAAGGGCCGAGTGGGGGCAGTTGCCCTCACTGGGCTAAAAAAAAATTGCCTTAAAAAATAAAAATCCAATAAGCCCATCTTTTAAAATATTGAAATAAGCCGAGTAGCCCAGTCCAACTATTCACCCTTTCCTTTCCCTTTCCCCCAGTTCCCTTTCGATACCCCAATTCTCCCAGACGAGTTCTAGGCAGAGATGAGAACCATAGGAAAGATCAATCACATGAATCTTGTGAGAATGTTGGAATTTTGTTCAAAACGTAGACACCGACTCTTAGTTTATGAATACGTCGACAACATGTCACTTGACAAACATCTATTCAACTCAAATCTTCCTGGGATGGAAACAAAGATTTGCTGTGGCATTAGGTACAACAAAAGGTTTAGCCTACCTCCACCATGAATGTCTAGAATGGGTTATCCATTGTGACATGAAGCCAGAAAATATTCTTCTAGACAGTGAATTTCAACCCAAAATTGTAGATTTTGGGCTAGTGACACTGTCTCGAAGAGATAGCCCTGGTTCAGAAATTACAAGAATTTGAGGGACGAAGGCTACATGGCTCTAGAGTGGGCGCTGAACTAGCCAATCACTGCAAAAGTCGACGTCTATGGATATGGTGTTGTAATACTCGAGATGGTAAAGGGAATTAAGCTCTCAAATTGGTGGAAGATGATGCTGACAATGACAAAATTCCTCTTAAAAGTCTTGGCAGGACAATGAAGAAAAAATCTTAGCGTGAAAACTCCTCTTGGGTAGAGAGCATAGTGGATTCAAGATTGTGAGGGAATTATAGCAGAAAACAGGTTGCGACACTGATTCAATTAGGCCTTTCTTGTGTAGATGAAGACCAAAGCTAGTGGCCTACTATGACTGCAGTGATCCAAACTCTCATGAAATGTGAAAATGAAACAGATACAAATTCTAGACAGATGTAATTGACCTTCCACTTTCTCTCTTTTGTAAATATTATTAGAATAATGAATCTGTGTTGTTTTAAGCTTTATTCTGTTGTATACATTTACTGAGATTACAAATCTCTCTGTAAGTTGGAATATAAAATGGTAATGGTCTCCCTTTTTTCATTACTCTTTTTTTTCTCAAACTCAGTTTCAGTCACATATTCACATTGGGGCCAGCTATGATATTATGGGGCCTTATGCAAACTTCAAATACGGGCACCTATATGTATTATCGCAATATTTTTACGTAATTCTATCGCGTCCCCCTAAACAATAATTTTAGGTCCGCCCCTGCATCCGCATCATCCTTTACCTAACCCACTTTTCTTTTTCAAAAGTTTCTTCTCGTTTACTTCATTTTTGACTTAAAACGTCCCTAAATTTGACACTTCTTGCGGAAAACGTCCCTACATTTCATTTTTTACATTTTCGTCCTTATTTCAATGTTTCATGATGAAAAACATCATTTTCACCATTTTTAACGTAAAATGACAAATATATCATTGTATTTAGATAAAACAAAAACAAAAAAAAGAACAAATTGCAATTTTACTCCTAAACTTTTTTAAAAGTGCAAATGAGTCCAAATAAATTATTAAAATATTAAAAATAACCAAAAATACAAATAAAAACTATTTCTCTCTCCTCTTCTTCACCTTCTTCTCCCTCTCCCTCTCCCTCACCCTCACCCTCAGCCTCCTCCACCACCACCACAAGAAATGTTTCCTCATTCTTAACTAAAACTCATCTCCCAAACACCCAAAAATCTTATCTTTGGCCATATTTCAGAAGAATTTGGATAAGAAAAATAAATGATGATCTGATTTTATCAAGAATCCTTCCATGGGTTTACCGAGAATTATCTTTTATTTTGTTCATGTTTATCTACTCATTTTAACCATTCTTGAGCTCACCCCAATATCCAAATCGGCACCTGACTACACAAGTTTAGTGTACAAGGATTGTGCCAAGGAAGATTTAGCAGATCCAATAGGGGTTTACTCACAAGCACTCTTTGCCCTTTTTGACACCCTTATTGCCCAGTCCTCCAAGGCCAAATTTTACAAAACCACCACTAACAGTTGCCAAACCACCATTAATGGCCTTTTTCAATGCAGAGGGGACCTGCATAGGGTTTTACTAATATCCTCAGTCATCTTGGGATGGAAAAAGGTTCTCACCTCCAAGTCTTCGAATTCTGCTCAGAGAAAGTAGCAGATTTTGCTACAGCAAGCATTATCCCCTGTGGCACTTAATAATATACTTGTATAGTGCTCTCCTCCCAATTTCGCTGCAATTTACATTTCTTGTTTTCTGGAATTCGGGGAATATTTTGTTGCATTTAATTTCTTGTTCAGGGACCGCTTTTATCTTTCTCCTTAATCAGCAACAGCGGCTGTGGCAGTTGCCTCTGCTCAACCCGCTACTGCAAAGCCTCTAACCACAATGGGCAGTGTAGCTTCACCTAACATCTCCAATTTTGCAGCCACTAGTTCCTCTGCCACAGCTGGTAGAGCACCAACTGCTATAAGCTTCAACTACCTGAGAGAAATAGTTTTTATTTTTATTTTTGGTTATTTTTAATATTTTAGTAATTTATTTGGACTCATTTGCACTTTTTAAAAAAGTTTAGGAGGAAGATTGCAATTTGTTCTTTATTTTTGTCTCTTCTTTTATTTAAATAGAATGGTATATTGCTCATTTTACAATAAAAATGGTGAAAAATATGTTTTTCGCAATGAAACGTTGAAATAAGGATGAAAATGCAAAAAAATGAGATGTGTGGACGTTTTCCGCAAGAAGTGTCAAACGTAGAGACGTTTTGTGCTATTAAGGCTTTCATTTTTATACTAATACATATCTACTAGGTTGTTGTGCTATGTGACTATTTATTAGCAAAACAGTTTAAGCGTGTATTTGTCTACCATTAATTTTCACTAAAACAAAGTAATAAACAGTGAAAAAATATTTAAAAATACTGTGCATCTCACACAATGATTCCCACCATTGGAAAATTTCCACCTATTACTCTACATTTCCATTACTACCCCTACTCATTACTTTTTCACCTAACAATTCTTAATCTTTACAAAAGAGCTGTGAGTGACATTTTCAATTTTCCAAATACATATTCATTTCGTTTTGTATTAATACAAACCGTAACACAGTTAACAATTCCAAAACGAAATGTAACTTTTTTTTTTAATTTAGAAAAATAAAATTGAACAGTTCTAGAATCAATTTATCACGCCAATGTTTCAACTACCCGTTTGACGCTGGCTTCATTTTGGTGAAAGATAAATGTCACAATTACACATTTTCTTCCTAACACATTCATCTTATGAATTTTTTGAGGATCATCGACAATCATGCATGTACGTAACAAATTAGAAACACCACTAGCGTAATTCGTGCACCATGTAATAACGCAATTGTTCCCATGGTAAATCTTCCTCCGCAATTGCATAAACTTCTACTGCAACTTCGTCGTGTTCAAATGGGAGGTCTATCTCTACTTCCTCATCACTTTCCTGTTTTGCTCTACAAAATGCTTCATCTGCACTGCCATTGTGCCTTAAAAAATTGTGCACCACCATTGTGGCAACAACAACCGCTGTTTGTATAGGAAACGAGTAGCTTGGCATATGATCAAGAATTTTCCATCGCTACTTCAATACTCCAAATGACCTCTCGATGACATTCTTCCAAGATGAGTGATAAAAGTTGAATCGTTCTCATGCATTTCTAAATCTTCGATGGCTGCCTGTCGGCATCATACGAATATCCAAACCTTTATACGGAGCCATATAACTCGGTCAATGTGCAAATTCGAAGTCCACAAGATAGTACTTCCCAGGAGCGAGAATGGGAAAATTAATATCCGGATTATGTATTGCATTGGCCAAAATGAGACTATCGTGCGTATTCTTTGTTATCCCAGGAAGCACGAACGTGAAGCACGGATTAAAATCGAATGCAGCGAGCACATTTTGCATTAGAATTCCTTTGCGTCCTTTGAAGTTCTCTTGTTCGTGAAGCGGTAAGACAGCCCTCATGTGCGTACCATCAATTGCTCCAATGCAGTCCTGATAACATAAAACATCGTTAACTGTCTCGATATCTGATGAAGGTTGCATTATAATAAAAACATAACGATACATATATGGAAAAGGTGACGTAGCTTCATTGTTGTAACCTTGAACAATGGATATGCAACAGGGTCCGGATGATGATGTCTAGCTCCTCGGTTGTAATTCAGTCGGGCTTGATAACATTTTCCGCGAATGCGATGACAGCTCGAAGCACTACTTTGAAATGGTGGCTGTTCGTTTGCAACGAGTGGCTAAAAAGTGTTTGCTCCTGTCTGTATCCTTTCAAGTGCGCTAGGATATACAGAAACATTCCAACCTGGTCTTAGATGTCGATATGAGTATTGCTTCATAGAGCATATTCGTCACGAAGCATGTGCGTGAAACAAGTGAACATAGGTGGGTACATCCTGAACTCTTGAAAACACATTTGTAGATATGCATGCAAATTTTGTAGCATGAACAGATGTCCGCTTCTTACGAAAGGAAAATGAAATCTTGGTTTATCGAATGATGCAAACAGTCACAAACCATTTCTTCGGAAGTGCGACAATATCCAAGCTACGTTTCAATGTCCTCTTCAAGTTGCTGCTTGACGACCTCGTCGTCAGAAGTATTGAACACATCGGAGTTTGGTTGAAGGTTGCAATGTCGGAAACGATATTGTGACATGTTGTATGTTTCCTAGAACATAAAAGGAAAATATTACTTTAGTGAAGGCCAAAACCTGCTTATGGAGGTGGCTTAAAGGGTATCTTGGATGTATGCTCAATGAAAGTCTGTGAACTACGCTTGTATATATGTTGGCCCGTAATGGTGTTGTTTCATGCATGAATAGACAATTGTAGGGAATCAAACCTTTTTTAGATATTTTGCATGCAAATTGATTTTCTGTCATGTAAAACTGATATATACGATGGATCACCTTTTTATATTTTTCATGTCAAAAATCTAGTGTGAGAAAGGGGTAAAGGGCATAACATGCACAAACAATTTGTACAAACCATTCAAACACAAATACATACGCAAAACAACCACAAATAGTTTGACACAATCTGAAACACATTGTGAAATGCAGCAGTACGAAAATATCGTAAAAGTAGACAACAAAGGAAAACCCACGACACAGGACCTATACAACTAACCAAACTAGCAAATGTAAGCATCCAACCATTCAGATAAACGACTACCCATCAAAAGGAAGATGATGTGATGCACCGACTTTACGTTCCTTGTAGTCATCAAAGGACCACTTCAACCAACACATTTTTGTGTCCTTGTCTTTGGCGGCCCTCCATATATCTCTGTTTCCATGAATGCCGAGGAATGATAAAGCAAACATGAAAAGATCGCTGTTCCTGTCAACAAGTCCAGTTGCATCGATCTCCGCGATACAATCGTCTATGGAAAGATCATTTGAACTATTTCTTGGATTGAACGACTGCAGTTCCGTAGACATGTCAGCCATTTGATCTACTGAAGTGGAGATAGCACGTGCCCCACATTTTTTTTTGCCATTTCCTGAATGTGGTGTGGACTTACGTCTATTGTCATTACGCTTGCTTGATCGTGCTTTCGATTCGTTTGAGTGGCCAATATCTGATTCGTCATTAGAATCAACAGGATTTGGCAAATGATCAGCGACTTGGTCACCATCTCTATCGTCGTCCATGCCGAACCCACGTCGTGACATCTTGGTCGGGGTGGAAGCGTATTCCACTTCGTTATTCTTGAACCTCTCATACATGGGGTTTTCCTATGACCAAAAAAATGTCCAAAACCATTGTTCATGTAGCTATCACAAACAATTGCAAGACACAAATGCAATGCATGCTCTTGCAGTGGTCCAAGATAAGAAAAACATCAAAATGGCATTCTCAAAACCAAGGCAGCACACACATGACCTGTCAACCATATACTTCCAACGAAGTTGTTTCCTGAACAAAGTTAACAAAATATGCAAACCATGTACTGCTAATGAATATTTTTTTACCGTGATTTTTTGATCCCACAACTCGTCATCAGCCATCATACGATTACCGGCAGTTAGGTTATACTCCACGTCAGGGCAGCGCAGTAGTTCGAATAACATCTTGTGATCGAGCCGCATTTGCTGCCAGTGATTTTTTAGTTGGGAGATTGTCCAATTCTTGTTCGTCTTTCGGTTGAAAAGCGATAGAATGCGATCCCACCCGGCCCTTGTGAAGCATTTGTCGTGGCTATGACCTTCCGCAACTGCCAATTCACATGCAGTCATGAAAATTTGATGCTCCTTCAATGCCAATTTCGCCATTCTATGTACCGGCTCCTCCGGCTGCGGCTCCACGTGGTCTTCTACCAGCTGTTGGGATGGGGCGATGGTTGCATAGTTCTACAGGAACAAAAATAGGGGAGATGATTACAGACATGCAATGACATTCTCATAAACCAAAAATGCACAGAGAGTGCAGAAAAAATAGTGTTTGTTACCGTGAGATGAGGATAGGTCCACTCATGATCGGGTAAGGCGTCCATTTTGACTAAATCAACGGGTGTGTGCATCGGTGGAAAATCTGTAGACAATCGAGCAAATTATAGTCAATAACTCACTTGAAAATGGTATGGAAAAATCGGCAAGAACATAGGGAAAGTGAGAATAAGTGAAAAATAAGCTTGAACACTTGAAATCAATCAGAGATGGAAGTTCCCGGCAAAGTGTCTTGGTCGTTGGACTTTTCAATGTTTCTGATTGAGGAGAGAGATAAGTTTGGATTGAGATTTGTGATGCGGTTGGTGGGTTTCGAAAGGGGTTAGGTGAAGCGATATTAAGCCCCTGTTTGTCATCCACTTTATCAAACATTATTTGTTACAGTAAACAATTTCTACCACATATTCACTCAATAAAATATTCTACACACAAACTAATAAAACTACTTTACTTTTCAACCACACATTCTCCAAAAAATACTATTCAAAACTCTATTTTTCACCAAAAATGGGACACAAACAAGCACTAAAGGGCAGGAATGGAAATTATGAAATAGGTGCTGTGCAATTTTGAAATTGAGAATCCAGAAGTCAAATACCTTTTCAATTTTTTAATATTTTTCCACTGTTCATTACTCTATTTAGTTCAAAGTAATGGCAGACAAATACACGCTAAAGGAAATGAAAAAAGATTTATACGGAAATGAACCAAGAAGAAATTAAAAGGACAACAATCGTTTCTTTATTTCAAAAATGAATTTAGATGCACACAAAACAATCCTTGCATGGACCAACGTGCAACAGTGGCTTGACATTTGGTCCCCTCCAAACCCTTATTAAACATCATATACAAATAAATAAAATCTACATTTTCAACCTAAGAAACAAGAAATATATGGATTCAATTTCTTAAACATTGCCTAACAAGACACACAAGCCACGATTGGTACATGACAATAAATAAAAGAATAATGCTATATGTACACAAACTTTCACACAATCTTTTACACCCCCCTCACATGGAGGGGGGTCCACACATAATAAAATAATCGTGGGCCCCCCTCCATGTGAGGGGGTGTAAAAGATTGTGTAAAAAATTGTGTGTACACATAGCACCACTCAAAGAAAGAAGGAAAGATGTACACAAATTTTCACACAATTTTTTACACCCCCCTCACATGGAGGGGGGTCCACACATAATAAAATAATCGTGGGCCCCCCTCCATGTGAGGGGGGTGTAAAAGATTGTGTGAAAGTTTGTGGGTACATGTAGCATCACCCTAAATAAAATCTTAAGTATATATATCTTATGCAGTCTAATGTACCAAACGTGTCAACAAACAATTGGCTAATATGTGTGAGCGAAAACTTCATTCGTTTAGAATTTTTTAGCATGCTAATGATCATAGCTTGAAGAATGAGAATAAGAATCAGGATGAGGATGCATTCCTCCACTTATCTCTCCACCCTCGTGATGATGAGCGGCAGCGGCTCCTCCGCCGTAAGGTCTTGGTGGTTCTTCATGTTTAGCCGTCGGAACCATAATTGGCTTTTTCTTCTTCTTGGCTAAGCAAAAGAGACCAACTGCAAGGAATGCAAGGAAGAATAAACCACCAAAAGATACGCACACAGCGATTATGGTTGTGTGGTTGTTACCACCACCACCTGGACGCGGTGTCACAACAGTGTTTGATGGAGAAGAAAATGGGGTGTTTGGTGACGGTGCTAAAGGGCCCCCATTTGGCGGCGTATAGGGCTGTCCCAGTGGGTATACTGGCCCAACAGGCTTGGCTGGACTTGGTGGTTGTGGATAATATGGTGGGTAAGCCGTGGTTTGTGGTTTACTTGGTGATGGAGTGGGTGACCCTGGATCTGGAGGAGTTTTTGGTGGAATTGGGCCACCGGCAGTTGGTGAGAAGTATGGTGAGTGTTTAGGCGGTGGAACGACCAAGCCACCAGGTGGTGTTTTCGGTGGATAAGGCGGTGATGCAGGAGTCGGACTTTCTATCGGTGTTGGGGATGAAGCACTAGGTGGATGATGATGATGTCCACAATGGTGGCCATGACAAGGGGGTGAATATGGAGCAAGTGGTGGTGGTGGACATGCAGGTGGTGGAGGAGGTGTTGTGCATGCAGGTGGTGGTGGAGGAGGTGGAGGTGGAGGTGGAGGTGGAGGTGGAGGAGAGTGGTAAGGGTAAGCTACCTTAGGAGCACTTTTGCGAGAAGGCATTGTAATTAAATTTCTATTCTGGTTCTTTACAAACACTCGTGACGTGAGTTATATATACAAATAAACCCTAAATTGAATGACAATAAACTAGCACCAAGTGGGACATACTTTTTATTACATAACAAGAGGGCACATGCTTAATTACTAAGAGACTATTATTTCTCACTAAATCTTGATTACATGAGTTGTATTCAATTTGGTTTCTAATTTCAAATAATTTATCCTAGCTTTTTATCAATTTTTCTATCACACTTACATCAATTTTTTAATAAAAATCTTTGTCGAACGAGCCCTAATTATCTATGTTCTGTCCAGGTAGTGGAAGACTTGAAAGTTTTTCCAAGTCTTTGATGTTACTTGCCTCTTGTAACTATTTTTGTGGACCTAAGAAATTGCTAAACGACAAGAAATTGATTGAACGTCTTCATTCCTGAACGTCATCTTTTTTCTTTGCTTTTCATTATTTGTCCATGTAAATTATTGCGTCAAATAGAAAAAATATATTATTATTTGCTTCAATGAATATCCTCAATAGTTACTTATTTTACTTTACATTTTGCACAACTTTGGAGATTAAAACATGTTGTTTATATATATATATATATTCCAAAGTTTAATTAAAGAGTAATTAAAGATGATTGTATAAAAGTCTAAAAAATTCATCAAGTGAATCTAATTAAGAGAGACTCTAATAAAGTGTGTTAATTAAATGATGTTGAATATTTAATCTTCACATATTGTTAGTTACAAGATTGTGACTCATATGAAAATATAAACCTTAAAATCGATCGAATAACTTTTTCAATTGTTCGAGCTTTATCGTCTTTATCATCATATTAAGTATTAGGGGTCTATTTAAAATTGTCCAACTTATTAGTTCTTGAAGTCTTTTTAAGCATGTCGAGTGGTGGGAATATTCCTAAGCATGACTAGTGACGGATTTAGGGGACCCATTTTAGTTTTTTGTAGATAAAAAGAACTTTTGTAAGAAAAAAAAATTATTTGTAATTTTAACATATTAGCCCAACTTAAGAAAATAATTTAGTGAGAACCTAAATCCACCCTCGAGGACGACAGAGATAGATGAGACGCGAGAATGAAGTCTAAAATTAATTGACCAATGGACTTGGATTCATATAAGATTTTGAGAAGAGTTCACAAATCAGGTATTAACTTTGACAATTACAAAAATTAAGTTTCAATGAAAGGAGGAGTTCACAAATCATGTATTAGCTTTGATAATTGCAAAAATCAGGTGTTAAGTTTCAAATTTGCAATAATCAGGTATTTATTAATTAATTAATATTAATTAGTTAAAAATTAATTTTCGGTCACAGTTTTTTGCAGGTCATAGATTTCCAAATTAGTTGGTCACATATTTTTTAATAGTCACACGTAAAAAAAAAATTCTATGTCACAATTAATTTGTTGGTCACAAATCAAAATTTATAGGTCACACGGTTACAAATTTTCAAATTAGTTGGTCACAAATTTTTTCACGATCACAAATTATATAATTTTTAGGTCACTGATAACAAAATGGTTGGTGACAGATTATAGAATTGGTCACGTTCCAGTCTCAATTGGTCAAGACCCATGGTAGAGCTAGGTACGCCATGTGAGGGCGAGCCTGGCTCAGGCGGTCCGCCACCATGGGTCTTCCTGCCGGCATCGAAATTTCCAGTAAATGTGTTCGCCTGTCACGAGTTCGAAGTTTCTAAGTCAAATTCAAGCTGTTGGAAGTCAAATCGAGGTTGACCCATACCTGGGCAAGGTGCGTCTTGGGGAGGGAAAGAGGACCCAATTGGTCTGCCATCATGGGTCGTCTGGACGACGCCGAAAACTGCGTTTTTCAAACCTACTGGTTTCTCGTTCGCTACTGCAGATATTGTCGTGGTTAATTTCGTTTTGTGTGATGCTTTTTGGGATGAATTGTGGACATGGGGAAGGTCGTCTGGCTTTAGGGAGTTGACCGATGGTTGGCCCTCCACCGTGAAGTTGATCGGAGAAGGCAATTCCGGCGGTTTTATCATTTTTGGGCAGCTGATTTTGACTGTTGATTTCTTCCTCATACTTGGATGAAATTGATGGATGTTGGGTGGAAATTAAAGGTGTTGTTAAGGGCTTTGCAATAGTATCCAAATCCGGTGGTCTTGTTGGCTGAAAATTGCTGGAATTTTTTTTCAATTCTAGAGAGAAAGAAGAGCGTTTGGAGGTAGAGAGAGAAGGTGAAAGGTGAATGACAGTGTCACGACGCTGTCGCCATTCACAGCAGGCAGAGAGAGATGAGGGAGAGAGGGGAAGGAGGGAAAAGGGAAGAGGATAAAATGAAATTAGGGTTTGGGTGGTATAAT